CATAGCTGAGAGGAGTGAGGATGTGGAGAGTGGCAGGAGATGAGCTTAGAAGGACAGCAGGGGAGCGGGTCATGCCAGGCCATGGCCCAAGTTCAAACTTTAGGTTCATGGTAAAGACACACTGTGAAGTGACAATAGAGGTAGCTTCTTAGAGACACTCCCTTCACCTAGTTGCCCATTTATAGATGAGCAAACTGAACCCCATGGAAGTTATATGATTAGTACAAAATTGCATAGCTAGGTAGAAGCCCTAGAGAAATTCAGAACTGAGACAGATGATTCATGATGTATTTCATTAGGATGCCATTGGTGACATGTAAGAGAAACTTACATGATTCAGACAGGCTTCAGTAAAATGAAACTTAATTATCTCACATTACTGGAAGACCAGAGATGGGAAGGCCCTGAGCATAGGGCCTTTGAGTGGCTCAATAATGTTCTATTCATCTTTTCATCTGGAATCCTCAGTGTATCAGTCAGGGTGGGCTAGGATACACTGCAATAATAGACTTCAATTCCAGTGGCTTTAAAAAGCAGAGAGATAGATATTAATAGAGAAATAGATATATTTTTATGGATGGAAATATGCATATATTTCTATTATCTATATCTCTATTTATTATCTACCTATCTACCATCTATTTATATTTACTCATGCTCCATGCCCAGAGTGGGACACTATTTTTATTAGCTATCAGGCACTCCTCACTGTAGTCACCTAAGTACTCACACTGACAAAACCACTCCCATATAGAACATTGCTGATCACCATGCTAGAAGAAAATGAAAATTCTAGAGTGTCTTGCGGCAGCAATTAGATGCTCTGTTTCAAAAATAACACACATCATTTCTGCTCACAACTCATTGACTGATACTAGTCACTCCCCTCCTACTCACAAGTGGGCTACGAATTGCAATTCTACTATATGCTTGGGAGGCAGAGATATTTGGTGAGCAATGCCAACAACTACCAAATTGAATATCAACTTCAAATCTCAGCCGGTGCCCCCATCCCGAGGTCATAACATCCAGAGAAACAACACCAAAAAAAAAAAAAAAAAAAAAAAAGAAGAAGAAGAAGAAGAGGAATTATCACTATTTTTAAGAGCAAGGAAATTTCCCCAGAATCCCATAGCAAAATTCTCCACTTAGTATTGGCTAGAACTGGATCACATGTCCCTTCTTAAACAATCACTGTCAAGGTGAAAGAGACTTATTATGTCTGGCTCAGCCCAATTGGGATTTGCCTTCTAGAGCCAGGGACTGGGTCATTCTCCCCTGAACCTCAAGACTGAAGTTGGTGGAGGTATTGAAAGAGATGATTCTTCTCTGGTGTTTTTTACTGTGTCAAATCCACAAAGAAAGAGCACTTTAATACTGTCAACAATTCAGGTGCTGAAACTAGAAGGAGAAAAGAGAAATGTATGGTGGTAGCCAAGCAACCTGTTCTACTACAAAGGGCAAACCAGGAGGCCTGGAAGCGCCAATAAGAAATGTAGTCCACTGCAGCAGGAGTTGGGATAAATTACCTCTAAGATCTCACAAAACCCCGAGATGCTATTTATTATTTCCATGAGTCTATTGATGTCGTCAGTTATGAGCACAGGGGTTCAGGATACATTTATAGATGGTGGTGGTCTGTGAAACCAAATCAGTTTCCCTTACTCAATGCTACTGATCAAATCTTATTAGAGTCTGATGGGAGGAGGACACATTTCTTCTCTCCATCATTAGGGAGTTCTCAGACATGAAAAAGTAAATTCTGGAATAATGAAGGGAAGGTGAAGGCTCATGAAAGAGAAAAAGAAGAGAATAGCTTAGAAATTACACAGAGTATAAAGGTAAATATATAAGGCTGTTGTCTTCAAATACGTTATGATTCCCAGTGTACGTGCCTGTCTTATCTACTCTTCTGAGCTTGCAATTCTTGTGTTGGACAGCTCCTCTTAGATCTCTCAAAGGAACCACAACACGACTATTGCTAACTGTATCCTGAACCTGATTTTTCAACCATGCTTATCTCCACTATGGGCATCAGCTTTCAGTAATCTACTCCATCTCTTCATCATTTTTTTACCTGTATTATCAGGACAGCTTCCAAATTGCTTTTCCTGCATCCAGTCCAGTGTTCTCTACTCCATTTGACTCAGAGCCAGCAAAAATGTAAAACTGACAGTGTCTTCTCCTGATTAAAACCCACCAATAGTTCCCCAGCAATTGTAGAATAAATTCAAGTTCTTTGCAAGGGAGGGATATAATGCCTTCCTGCTAGCCTTATTTGAAAGACTCCCTCAGGGTTCCTGCTAAACTGCTTGCATCCCTGCTCACACACCCTTACCACGTTCTGTCTTTCTGGTTCCCTCTGCTGGGAGCATCCTTGCCCTCTTGTTTGCTGTATTAACTTGTAATCCATTCTTCAAGATTCTGCTCTACCTCAGTTGAGAAAGCTGCCTTTGACCCCCATCTGTCCCCCTGCAGGGCCAGGCTGGGTGACTGTCTTCTGCTCTCAGAGCACTCTGCTTGCCTTTATCATGAGATGTAACCTTGCCATGTGGAAATCATTTGTTTATCTGTCTCCCTAATGGTCTACAACAGGCGTCCCCAAACTACGGCCTGCGGGCCACATGCGGCCCCCTGAGGCCATTTATCTGCCCCCCCCGCCGCACTTCAGGAAGGGGCACCTCTTTCACTGGTGGTCAGTGAGAGGAGCACAGTATGTGGTGGCTCTCCAACGGTCTGAGGGACAGTGAACTGGCCCCCTGTGTAAAAAGTTTGGGGACGCCTGGTCTACAAGGTCCCCCTCCTTGAGGAAAGGGACTCTTTTATTCATTCTGCTGGCAGAGAGCAGGCACTAAACAAATGTTTGTTGAACAGAATCTTTAGGAAGAAGGTGGGAGTTGAGATGAAGTTAAGGAACTGAGAAGAAGTGGAGAGGAAGAAGGAGGGAACTGAGAGAGCAGCAAATGAGGAGCTGTGTGTCGGGGGAGCTGTCTGTGCACCCTCCCCCCAGCAGATCCCAGCCAGTATCAGGATCCCCCTCTTGTGTCTTGGAGTCTGAGTTCCAGTTCCAGTATACATCCATTCCACAGTTCCCAGAAGAGGAACTCTTCTGTTCCTGGATAGGGATCCCTTGTTTGGGTCACACATGAGTGGGACTGAACAGAAAGTCTCAGGGAAAATTCTCTACCGCCCTCACTCTGATAGCCTGTTCTCTGCCTTCAACCAAAGCACACCGGTCATGCAAGCAAAATCCCGGCCTTGGCCATCGCTCTTTGTTCTCAGTTCTCCCTAACTCCTCCGAGGGCACATACCAAGGATGGTAACTACGATTCTCTTTTGGGTTGGCCTCATGGCTGTGAAAGTTAGACTCAGGCCTCCTTTCCAAAGACCTAGGTATGCAACTACCCCGGAAAGCCCCCGTCTCGGCACCTCCATCTTCCTCACCTCCCTTAGCAGCTGCAGCACAGGGATTTCAACACAGGGGTTACAAAGCTGAGTCTCAGAGGTTCAGAGAGCTTTCTAATGGCCTTGAAGCTCCGGGAGGTGGGTGGGAGAAAGTCTAGCAAAGAGTTGCCACCCAGTCCTGGGGCTGTCTAGCGCCTTTCTACGTGGTGGGGAAGGGGCTGGGGAAAGAGTGACCAAGAGGAAGAGAGTGTAGGCTCAGCTCACTGGTCGCCCAACAGCCTTAGACAAGCCACTTGACCCCTGGACTCAGTTTGGGAACCTGTAGCAATGGGTTTGACCTCTTCTCTTGGCTGCCGGTATCACCACTAGGGAGAGGCAAAGGCTTGCAGAAACCCCAACTCCTGTTCTGGCCGCAGGCTTCGCGGGGCCCAGGTAGGGTGGGGACTGGTCGCGAGGGCTGGAAGGGGCAATGGCGGGGGAGGTCTGTCCCGGCCGCGGGCCGTCTGCCCAGGGGACCTTTGGCCCTGCTCCCGGCCCCCTCTTTGCCCGCCCAGTTCGCGGCGTTAACTGCCGTCCGGGGCTTTTGTGACGCGGAGCTTCGAGTGCCGCGATCGGGCAGAAGCAAAAAGGAGTCCCGCCGCCCCGCACCCTGAGCTCCCGGGCGTGCAAACGTGGGCGGTGGAGAGCCGCTGCCCTCCCCTCGCCTCTCTCTCCGCCCCTCGCGGCGCTCCCGTGTGTGCGGGTGTGTGAGTGCGTGTGTCTCCGTCGCTCCCTCTCGCACACGCTCCGGCACTAGTGCAGGCGGCGAGCCGGCGGCTCTCCTCTCGCTCGCTGGCTCTGGCCGCCGCGCTCCAGCCCCGCCGCCGCCGCCGCGTCTGCAGTCGCAGCCGGGCATGGTGAGTGAGTGAGGTCCAGCCGCCGCGCGCTTCCCCAGCTCGCCGCGGGACCCCAGCCTCAGCCGGCTCAGTCCCAGGGAGCCAGCCTGCGGCGGGAGCGCGCTGTGGGGCAGGGCGGCGGGGGACCTGGGAGACCGAGCTGTGCCTGGAGGGGCGGCCCGTGCGCCCTCGGTTCCAGGCGCGCAGGGCCGCGGGACCCGTCTTGGGAGCAGGCGCTACGCCCCTCCCTGCCCCGAGCCTCGCTCCTCGAGGGCTGCGCGCATCCTCCCCGCCCGCCTGCCCCCGGTTCCCCTCCTGCTCCCAGAGCGCCAGTCGCCCCACCCCGTGACCGGCTCCCCGTCTTGTCCCGCAGGACCCGCCCGGACGGGACCACGCCGCCGCCGCCGCCCGGAGCCGCGCTTCGGGTCCTGCCTGAGCCGAGCCGCGCGCGGGGCCGCCGCCACCGCCGGCGGGGGATGGGGCTGCCCGGGAGGCGCGCGGAGCCCGCAGGGGGAGCGCGGAGCCGGCGCGCAGCCTGAGAGCCCGAGCAGCCCGCGCGGGGCCGGTCCGTGCGCACCGCGCGCCGCCGCCACCGCAGCCGCCACTGCCGCCCGCGCCTGGATGGCGCCATCGCCCCGGCGCGGCTGACCGCTCCGCGCCTCCAGCCCGGCCCGCGCGGCGGTCTCCCGAGCCCGGCCGGCCGGGGGAGCGGCCTGCCGCGGAAGCCTCCCCGCGCCCTCCTGCCCGGCCCCGCCATGGCGCTGCGGCGCCTCCTGCTGCTGCTGCTGCTGCTCTCGCTGGAGTCCCTGGACCTGCTGCCCGGCGCCCACGGCGCCCGCGGCCGCGCCGCCAACCGGACCCTGAGCGCGGGCGGCGCTGCTGCCGTCGGGGGCCGGCGGGCCGGGGGCGCCCTGGCCCGGGGCGGCCGCGAGCTGAACGGCACCGCCCGAGCACCCGGAGTCCCGGAGGCGGGAAGCCGGCGGGGCCAGCCCGCGGCGGCGGTGGCGGCGGCCAACGCGGCCGTCACCTACGAGACGTGCTGGGGCTACTACGACGTGAGCGGCCAGTACGACAAGGAGTTCGAGTGCAACAACAGCGAGAGCGGCTACCTGTACTGCTGCGGCACCTGCTACTACCGCTTCTGCTGCAAGAAGCGCCACGAGAAGCTGGACCAGCGCCAGTGCACCAACTACCAGAGCCCGGTGTGGGTCCAGACGCCCAGCACCAAGGTGGTGTCGCCGGGGCCCGAGAACAAGTACGACCCGGAGAAGGACAAGACCAACTTCACCGTCTACATTACCTGCGGGGTGATCGCCTTCGTCATCGTGGCTGGAGTCTTCGCCAAGGTCTCCTACGACAAGGCCCATCGCCCTCCGCGGGAGATGAACATCCACAGGTGAGCGCGCCGCGTGCTGCGCGCCCGGGTCGGTCTCCCCGCGGCCTCACCCTCTCCGCTTGCTTCGCCTGTCCTCTTCACTCTCGGCATCGTCCCACTTCCCCTGGTCCTCTTAAGTCAGTTTACCCTCGCTCCTTTTGCATGCAATAAATCAGGGCGTTCTTGGGCCCCCTCCTCCATTTTTTTTTTTTTTTTTTTTTTTTTTCCAGAACCGGGAACGCATGCTTTGGTGGTCGGGGATTTGCAAGACAGAGTAAGAATTGGTTGAGTGCGTGAAGTTCCAAGTGTAAGAATGTTCCAAATGCTGTAATCCTAGATGAGGATCCAGGGTTCTGTTTTCCTGGCATGTGGGCACCTCAGTGTAGGCTCATGTCGTTTAGTGTTTTTAGTCAAATCAGAGCGTCATCTTCAATATAGGGAACTGACCAATGTTCGAACCTTACTGAAAGGGGTACCAAGTGGCTTAGGGTCAACTGGGATGTTCCTGTGCATTAGGAATTGGGGTTTTATAGAAAGGATGCCTCCTGCCGGAAGAAGGGATAAAGATTCCTTCATTCCATGTTGACCAAGCACAGATGGTGTCTCTTCATTGCATCCTGTGGAGTGGGATGTTTGTCTTTCCTGCTGAGACTGGAGGACTTGTTCTTTGAAAGAAGAGTTCTGTTCTGTAGGCAGAACTCTGAGTTAACAGTTTTTGCCTGTGTTAAACCTGGCGGGGCATCTTTCACTGCTTACCTTCGAGAGGCAGCGGCGCCGCGGTGGGCGGTGGGGGGGTTGCCTCCTACCAAAACTTACGCTAAGAGCTCAAACTATGGCAGTCCCTGGTTCCACTCTGAATGCTGCCCGCCACACTGCCTTGGCCCCCAGTGAGCTCTGGGGGAAGTCAAAGCCAAGCGGGGGACAGAAACCCAGCCTCCCCCTTAGAACTCTAGGAATGACACACCCAGGGGATGCAGAGTTAGCTTGGCTTCCAGTCCCCTTATGATGATGGATGACTGTACATGGTGCAAAAGTCCTTTCAGGGAGCAAATCTTGCCTCAGGAGGTGCCTCCATTTCTGGTGCATGGTGCTGTCCTAGTCACTGTGACCAGCCCCGAGACCACTGCTTGTGAGTTGGCCCTGCAGGCTCCCACACTGACCTATTCACCTTGAGCTCATCTCCGCCTCCTGCTTGCTTGTTATCCTTACCACCTGAAAACCTCCTTCCTAACCACCTGAGAACCGCCTTCCTCGCTGCTGTGCTCATTAATCACCCCTGCCTTGCTGAAGAGAGAGAAAGGCAGAGAGAAATTTCTAGGCATGCTAAAAGAGCTGATTTTTTTTTTTTTTCCTGCTTGATATTGTGGGTGTTGAGAGAAACGATACTCCCTGGCAGGTTTTATTGAGTCAAATCCACAAAGGGTGGGTACCTCAAACTCGGGTGCTGGAATTGGGGTGATTCCAAAAGGAGACCCATGTATAAGGCTCTGTCCCCGAGATGCCTCCACCTTGTCTTCCACCTGCAGCTCATGTCTCAGATCATGCAGTAAGTATCCTCTGGTGTGAGAAAGTCTTTGGTCAGTCTTGGCTCTCAGATGCAGAAGACAAGTGAGACAGTGAGCAAAATAAAGGCGAGACAGTGTTTCTTTTGCATCTTGTCCAGCCAAGAATTTTATGTCTTGACTGAGTGTGGAAAGAAGAGAAGGAATCGCCTGTGGGTAGGTGCCGTCCTGAAGCAGATGTGCTGGTCCCTATCATCCTTACACCTCTGCCTCTAGACTTAGAGGCTTTTCTCCTTTTTCCCTTCTCTTGTGGCCTTGGCCGCTCATGAAACCTTCTTGCTGGTTGATTCCTACACATCTTTCTTTAAGTTACTTTCTTCCTTGAGCCATTGTTCTCTGTACTCAGAGAAAACTGCCTGCTGCCTTGACCCTTCCGCCTCATACAGAGTTTATTCATCATCGCCTGGGATGATACAGAGGGCGGTGTCCTCAAATGCTGGCAGCAGGCACCTTTGGATGCTGGCACTGGCACATGACCCTGGAGAGGTCACTGTCCCTCTTAGTGTTTTCTCCCCTCCCCACTACACTGATGCCCCTTACGCCAAACTAGGGTGATGGTAATGACACCATTGAGGCTATTTCTCTCTGGGGTTGGGGAAGCAGAGTAACCATGGGAAGGGAGATGAATTTCAGGCCTCAGAACATTATGCAAATACGGGATGTTTCCCCCTCAAGTTCACCTCTTGATTTTATTCAGTTCATAGCCTCTCTTCCAGCAGCTGCAGTCTTGCCTGATCAGAGCTTTGGAAGCCATCATATCGGTCCCTGTTGGGTAGGGGACAATGTCTATGTGTGGTGGGGTGACAGGGGGACAGAGCATGGGCAATCCATCTACAACACTTCATGAGTGACCTTGGGCAGGTCAGGGAAACTTATTTTTCACTTTCGGGTAACACAAGCACAGCAATGTCCCAGCTCAACCTCTTGCTTCGGGGGCAGGTCAGAGTGAGTGTGCATGTTGCTGTCAGATTCCTGGGGGTGGGTGTGACTACACCGCTCCTCTCGCTTTGCTCACCCCTCAGAGGGCACCGATTGCCATTCCAGTGAGTATTTTTGTGCAGACTGCCTTCTTGGGCAATCAGGCTAGGGGAAAGGAGGGAGTGATGGAGAAAGAAATATTCATACCATAATGAGTTTTTCCTAGCAAAAGCGGGGAGAAGAAGGAATGTACACTCTTGAGAGGTCAAGAGACGAAGTAGATGTGCATACAGTCACATATTCCTTGAAATAATTCAGCGGAGATGTTTTCTTTCTGAACAGGAAAGAAGAGCTGGTTTTAGTGTGTGAGTCCCCCCTGAAGATGATAGCTGGGCAGGCAGGGGCTGAGTCTGAGGGAGTTTCAATGAGAACAGCCTCATTGGAAAGGGACATTTGTGGGAGTATGAGCAGGGGTGAAGGGAAGGGATGGACCATCTGCGTCTACCTCGGTGCTCCCAGGCTGGACAGTGCTCTGCCTGCCCGTGCACACACATTCTTTAGGGCAGGACTTCCTTTAATCTCTCTACTCCTGCAGGGAGGAACAGATTTAATCATTTCCAGAAGTGATGAGACCTTGCTATCGTGTTTCTGAGTGAGAAATCAGTGTCTGTGAGGGAAACTGTCAGCTCTCTGGTGATTCTAATAGATGAGTACCAAGTCCGACTAAGCTAGCTGTACTCCGTGGAGGATGAGGAAGTGGGCACAGGGATGAAAGGCAGACTCAGGTGCTGGCTGTGGCCAGAGAGCCCCAGGGTGGCCGAGCCTGCCTTTCCCACCTGGAAGCCAGTTCCCATCAGGATCTCCACTTCACTTTTCCCTTCTTTCAAACTGCCCGGGCTAAGGCTCAAGCTGCAACCATCCTCGGATCTTCTGATTTCCCTAGTGGCTTCTGCACTGCTCCCCTGAGGCTCTTTGTTCTGGGAGGAGCAGGTGATGTTCTGAAAGGGCTTCGGTGGACCGTGCCCAGGAAATGGCCTGGGGAGCCTGGCTCCTTTTTGACATTCATGTTCCTGCTAGCTGTCTCACATCCGAACCCGTTCCTTCCTCCTCACCCTGAGTTGATTCATTCGTGTCTTGGAGATGAGAATCATTCTGAGGGAGGAGCTGTGTGGCTTTTTTTTTTTAATGGCTAATTAACAGATGGGTCAGGAATCTATTAGGATGCTGGGGACGCAGTGGGTGAAATCAGAGCTGCCCGGAGCCCTCCCACTGCCTGCACAGGAGCAGAGGGGATCCAGGAATGTAGGGGGAGGTGGGGGGATGTCTAGGGGTGTAGGAAGAAAAATCCAGGTGGATATCAAAAGGAAAAAGAAAAAGTAGTGACCCCTTCATCTTTGGGTTCGTTCTCCTGCTTATTTCTAGAGGAATTCAAGGGAATACTTTGTTCTACTCTTTCTCCCTCCGCAAATTAATTAGAAACTGAAAGAGCCCTGTTTTTTCCTCACAGGCCACATAACTGCAGTAGCAGGGCCCTTTCACTGGCTGATTTAGTGAGTTCTCTTCCTAGCCTCATGGGCAACGAATTGTCAAGGTCACTCCATTTTTTGAAGCACTGTGAGCTCACTATAATGAATTGATCTAAATAGAGTCAACTTATTTTTCTACTGCAAATATAGAAGGAAAGAAACAAAAAAGGCATCTTGCCTTGGACTGCAAGTCTTCGTCTCGCCTTTATTTCTTTTTTCTTTGAGTTAAAAAATGCTTGTAGGGAAAGAGGACAATTGTGGAAGAATTAGAGAAGTCTCATGGAGGAAGGAGTAGGGGAAGGATGCTAGAAAGATAGAAAGAAGCAAAAATAGCAAAAGGAGGAAAGCAGTCTGGTGAGAGGTTGATTATTCCCACCGAAGGGACAAAGTGACGTTGCCTGGCCCTCGTGTGCCAGGCTTGGTTTGTCCTGACTCTTGCAGACATACGCAGACATTCACTTAACAAATGAGCCCTGCTCACCTTCCCTGGGCAAGACGGGTTTCATACTACACCATACAAGCTTGTAAGGCACATGTCGCCTTTGATACATGAGGTTAGCAAGGTCCCTTCTTGCTTTAGCAGAGTAACCATGTAAATACTTTTCAAATTCCCTAGACTGTGCAATTCTCCTTAGTCACATTGCCCACTGTCTTCATGTCCCTTCCTACCCCTCCTCAAGCTCAGAGGGACTTCACATCTGTCCCTTTCTTCCCTCCTACCCTACCCAAGGTGGGGAGCACGTTCATTTCAGGGAATCGACTGCTAAGAGACCAAGTTTACCCACTCTTCTAGACTGCCAAGACGCAGCTAGAGAAAAAAGTCTAATTCATTGTTTTCAGCTGGTTTTAATGAGAGAGCGCATTGACTCTGCAGTTGATTCAAATCAGTTGTGCAGGAAAGCGTGGTTAAGACAGCTGAAAAAGCGAGCTGATTGAAAGAGATCAATTCACTAGCTCCAGACGGACCGTCCTACGGACCCGGAATGAAAGGGAACTCCAGCAAAAGAAGCTTCAT